ACATATTTAAAAAACAAGAAAGGAAGAAAACTTCGACAATCCAAAGCTTATATACTCTTGCAGTTGTTACAAAACGACTACATTTCGATTTCTAAACCTATATTACTAAAAATAATGAAGCTATGTCGATGCTGGATTTTGCCATCGTTTCTATGGCAGTTATATGATATCGTTGTCCGATTTTGATAAAACTAAAAGCGTTATTCTGATATAGTATATAATTACTATATCTCAAAGGAATATTTTGATAAATATAAATAGCAAAATATATAATTACTATATCTCAAAGGAATATTTTGATAGATATAAAAACAGCAAAAAATATAATTACTATATCTCAAAGGAATATTTTGATAAAAATGAAAACAGCAAAATAAGTTTTATTGCATATTTATTTTTTTTTTTAATGGGTTTTTATGGGTTTTGTATGATATAGATGTCGGATTTTAATTTTATTAAAACCGTAATTCCGTAGAATTTAAATATTACCAAAACCTAAAGATCAACAAAAAGAATTAAAAACAAGAAAGAAAAGCTAACTTCGAGCGGAGCCGCAGTTGATATACCCTGAATTTTAGTAGGTCGGATTGATTGGCCAAAAATAAAACCCATAGAAAATCCCAACTTCCTAACTTAAACACCAAAGTTAAGGCATTTCCAATCGTTCAGTTATATGGCAGCTATAGGATATAGTCGGCCGATCCTTATGAAATTTGGTAGGTCGGATTGATTGGCCAAATATAAAACCCATAGAAAATCCCAACTTCCTAACTTTACAAACACCAAAGTTATGGCATTTCCGATCAATCACTTATATGACAGCTATAGGATATAGTCGGCCGATCCTTATGAAATTTGGTAGGTCAGATTGATTGGCCAAATATAAAACCCATAGAAATTCCAACTTCCTAACTTTACAAACACCATTTCCGATCAATCAGTTATATGGCTATAGGATATAGTCCGCCGATCCCGGCCGTTCCGACATATATACTGCCTGCAAAGGAAAGAAGGGTGTGTGCAAAGTTTCAATTCGATAGCTTTAAAACTGAGAGACTAGTTTGCGTAGAAACAGACAGACGGACAGACGAACAGACGGGTCGGAGATGTCTCCTTCACTGCGTTGCACACTTTTGACCAAAATTATAATACCCTCGGCAAGGGTATAACAAGAATATTATACTTTTTTACATTTTTTTCCCGATTGTTCCTATGGGAGCTATAAGATATAGACGCCCGATCCGGCTCGTTCTGACATATATACTGCCTGCAATAGAAAGACAACTTTTGGGAAAGTTTCAAGCAGACAGCCTTAAAACTAAGTGACTAGTTTGCGTAGAAATGGCTAGATAGACTCTCCTGGTGATGCTGATCAAGAATATATATACTTTATAGGGTCGGAAATGTCTCCTTCACTTTGCAACTTTTGACTGAAATTATAATACCCTCTGCAAGGGTATAAAAATATAAGGTTTAAACCTTACTAACTTCTTATTTGGTCAGATATGCCTTCACAACATAGTTGCTGGCATCTGAGTGAAATTATAATGCCCTCTGCAAGGGTTTACAAAGTAATTATGTTTTGAAAATATTTGAGGAAACTTTTTATACCCTTGCAGAGGATATTATAATTTTGGTCAGAAGTTTTTAACGCAGTGAAGGAGACGTTACCGACCCCATAAAGTATGTATATTCTTGATCAGGATCAATGGGGGAGTCGATATAGCCATGTCCGTCTGACCGTCTGGCCATCTGTTTCAAAACCGTTTGCGTAGCTTAAAAGCTAGCGATCTGAAACTTTTACAGTCGTCCTAAAACATGTGTACGCAGAAAACCGCCCCGATGGGACGTCGATATCCTATAGATCCCATAAGAACAATCGCATATACCTTGCAAGAATTGATGATATTTCGCGCAGTGTAAAGGCTATTGACATGAATCTTTCAAAATCGTATTTTATTATGCATACCTTGATCGGGGCAAAAAAAGTGCCGATCGCACGTCCTTATCCTATAGCTCATAGGAACAATAGGGCGAAATCTGTTAAAATTTTATGATTTTCAGGATATTTCGCACAGTATATAAGCTATTGACATGAATCTTTCCAAAACTTATTTATTTACGCATATCTTGATCAGGGTAAAAGAGCTTGCTGATCGGACGTCTTTATCTTATAGCTTATTATGTTAAAGGCGGCGAAAATATCCATTTTTTCTATTTTTATATGACGATTTTGCAAGCTCAAAGAAGTTTGGTCGACTAAAATCGAATTTTCGAAAATTTAATAGCTTAATCGTTTGCCCTTTTTTTGCCCATGTTTGCGCTCTTTTTAATTTTGTTTGCCAACCTTTAGTTTTAAAAATATGGAATCTTCGAAAATTTTCAAAAACATAAAAGTTGCCTTTTTCAAACATTTTTTTTTTAATCGCAAGAGAATCGTTTGCCCATCTTTTGGATTTTTGAAAATATTAATACATTTGAAAATATTCGACTTTTAAGTTTTGATCATATTTATCTGCAGAAAAAATGGTTTGCCCACCCCTTAAAAATCGTTTTTTCGAAAAAATAAAAGATGCCCATGTTTGCCAATCTCCTGAAATTATGTTGAAAATTACTTTTTTAAGCCGTTGGCAAACGTTTTTGTCAAAATTAACTATTTTTAAGAGGTGGGCAAACGATTTTTTTTTTTAATTCTTAAATTTCTGCAGATGGGAAAACATGGACATCTCTAATTTTTTCGAAAAAACGATTTTTAAGGGGTGGGCAAACAGGTTTCTGCAGGTAAATATGATCAAAACTTAAAAGTCGAATATTTTCAAAATATTAATATTTTCAAAATTCTAAAAGATTGGCAAACGTGAGCAAACGATTCTCTTGCGAATAAAAATTTTTTTTTGAAAAAGTCAACTTTTATGTTTTCGAAAGTTTTCGAAGATTCCATTTGCAAAACTAAAGGTGGGCAACAAAAATTTAAAAACATGGGCACAAAATGGGCAAACGATTAAGCTATTCAATTTTTGAAAATTCGAAATTTTAGTCGATCCAAATCCCCTTAGCTGATTTTGCAGTATAAAAGCTATTGACATGAAACTATGCAAATCTAATTTATTTATGTATACCTTATTATTTACGCTACTTTTTCAATTTTAGCAATTTCGGCAAAGTCAGCAAGGGTATTAATTCGGTATTCGGCTTGCCGAAGTTAGCTTCCGTCCTCGTTAACATTTTTATTTGCTAACATGTGACACGAAAATTTCTTCGCTTCAAATTGTGTTTAAAAGTCAGGGAATCTCAAGTCGTAAGCAAAAAAAACGTGCACAAAATTTGTTTTTGTAGGAACTTAATTGCTCACAATCGCTCCGAAGCTTTATGATTTCATCAGCCCCCTAACTGTCTTTCAATTTGCCACATTTGTCTGGCATTCAATCAACTTCGTGCAGGACTGTCATCATACTTGTTCCACCAAGAGCACGTGACATGAATAACCAAGTCCCAGCTAATCCCAGGAGTCAAGAAAACCCATTGGAGTGCAGTATTACGGTGCTGATCAAAACTAGTGAGCTTGTCGTCAGCTTACCATTCACACCATGCGCGTCTCTCGGCTTCACGCGATGTGCTGCTATATATTTAAAAAAATTACAAGGCAACCCAATTATAATGCACAAGAGATTTGACTAACATGAATGAATAAAAATCCGAGCTGATAAGTTGGCGGATGGGCCCCAGGAAGACAGTGGGCGGAATACGTCTTAATCAACGGACTAACAGCAAATGTAATGCAACTCAATCAAAGTAACAAACAAGCTCACAATGTTAGTTTTTCTACTGCCTTTGACAAAACAATAGGCAAAAATGTATGAATGTTGTTTTGAACCGAAGATTCCGAAATAAAAAGATTCAGAAACAAGAAAGAAAAGCTAACTTCGGACGAAGCCGAAGTTGATATACCCTTGCAGAATATTCTGTAAATTATATTCTTCAAAATTATTCATATGATGTATTCTTAATACTCATAAAAAGTCCCAACTTCCTAACTTTAAAAACACCAAAGTTAATGCATTTCCAATCGTTCAGTAATATGGCAGCTATAGGATATAGTCGGTCGATCCTTATGAAATTTGGTAGGTCGGATTGATTGGTCAAAAATAAAACCCATAGATAGATAAATCCCAACTTCCTAACTTTACAAACACCCAAGTTATGGCATTTCCGATCAATCAGTTATATGGCGGCTATAGGATATAGACGTCCGATCCTTATGAAATTTGGTAGGTCGGATTAATTGGCCAAAAATAAAACTTATAGAAAATCACTTCCTAACTTTAAAAACACCAACGTTGTGGCTTTTCCGATCGTTCAGTTATATGGCAGCTATATGATATAGTCGCTCGATCCGGCTCGTTCCGACTTATATACTACCTGCAATAGATAGACAACTTTTGGGAAAGTTTCAAGCAGATAGCTTTAAAACTGAGGGACTAGTTTGCGTAGAAACGGACGGACGGACAGACGGACAGACGGACATGGCTATATCAACTCAGGAGGTGATCCTGATCAAGAATATATATACTTTATAGGGTCGGAAATGTCTCCTTCACTGCGTTGCGAACTTTTGACTGAAATTATAATACCAATTAACAATACCAAATAACAATTCCCGAAGGAATAAAAATGTCAGTCAAAAGTTTTGCAACACTGTGAATAAGTAATTTTAGACCCCAAAAAGTATATATGTATATATTTATATATTTCTGTCTATCCGTTTCTAGGCACAGCTTTAAAGCTGTCTGGATGAAACTTTCCCAAAAGTCTTATTTCCATTGCAAGTAGTATCTTTCATTATATTATTTTTTATATATAATATAATGAGCTGCCATAGGTACGATCGAAAGAAAAAATAAAAAAAAAATAATTATAAATCCCTTGTCCACTCACACGCATATATCGGACGACTAAATCGTATAGATTTTATGGGAAAACCCCGAAAATGCGTTGGAAAAGCGACATAAATTTCGCATATTATATTTTTCTCAATTTTATAAATTTCAACGAACTTTCTTATATAACTTCTATAGGAACGATTAAAAAATTGTTGGGAAATAGTCTTGTAACATCATTGTTTTATATAAATCGATTTGTAGTCGGGTTAACGCCTTCTTGTTTCAACATACTTTTTAAATTCAACTTTCCTTTTAATTTTAGTATCATGTGGCATATAAGTTATACGTGCAATGGCCTTGAAAAAGTCAATAAGAGCGCAGCGACCGACTTGTGCCTGAAGATCGGAGTCCGGATTCGGTGTTGCTTTCCTTTTATGCTTCTCCGTCTGCTGGGCTGCTGAATGTCTGAACGGCAGGAAAGTTGTTAAGAAGCATGTTGAAAAAACGCACTGTAGGCATGCATTTGCGTTTTCAGCCGTGTACCTGGTTGTCGTCTGTCATGGATAGTGCGACATTTTTGTTTCAGTGTTCCTTGCAGTTTCGTACATTTCATCTGGCTCTCCACACTCCTAAATTAACTCAGACCGTGCCAAAAATCCACCAGACAGATGCGGGTCGTATATAAAAACAGGATATAGGAGCATCGCTTCGCTACGCTAAGTATAGAAATTTATTCACAATACTTGAGGTTCCTATTTAAAGCTATTCACCATCTAACAACTAGGATTCACTACCAGAAGGGACACTGATCGGCAGAGGTCATACTAGTCCCGCTTTGACACGCAAAGATCTCGGCAAACTGCGGCATCTGGCTGAGGGAGTAGTTGAGACGCTGACTGCCTGAGTCGTGGTACTGGTCGCCCTCGTCGCCGCAGAAGAAGTGTGCGAACTGGAGGAAGTAGAGCCGGCCGTTGTCTAGTTGGTACAGCCAGTTGCCTCCGTAAGTCTGCAGGGCTAGCCGGGACCCGCTGACGTCCGACGTGCGCTCGTTTAGCATTACCGCGCTGCTGTTCAGGCATCCGACTGCTCTGTTGTAGAGCTCAACCTGCCCGAGTTGGTCGCTAAAATTCTTCAAATTGCCCTGCGCATCGTAGTCCACCAGGTCCGTGTCGAGGGCGTGCATCATCTCGTGGCCCAGAGTGTTGCCAAGATCACCATAAAGCAGAGCCGGCCAGAAGCCGGCGTGGAAGAAGGGCAGCGTTAGGTAGGAGTACGGCACAATAATTATGTTGCCTAAGCAATAGAAGTACGGCGTAGCATCGATGTTGTCAGGGAACTCGGGCGTGTGCATATTAAAGCTGTACCAGATTCCCCGCTCCTTTGGATTGGTGCTGCCCTCCAGGTCCGCGACGAGGGTGTAGTAGTACAAAAGGCTGTTCAGATGATTCTCATAAAAGTCACGGCCCACGCTCCACCGCTGGTCGCTGTCTCTATAGAACTTCTCGGAAACGTTAGGCGGCAGGTTGCCCACGTTTATGCGCATATCATGAACCTTCGCCTTCAGAGAGTTGACTAAATCCTGGCTCAAGTTGAAAGGGTTTCTTTGCACCCTCATCTCAAGCTGATTCTGCAGCTGCTTAAACACACGGTTGATGACCAGTTCGTCGGCGCTTCGCCGCCGTGCATAGAAACTTCTCTCGTAAACGTAGTTCATTGGAAGATAGAGAGACCGACGCATATGGCGGATGCAGACTCTACCTCTCGGCATCTTACCGTTCACCCAGTTGGCCATTGGGTTGTGCGGAAGCTCCAGCAGGTGGCTGAGAAACCTCGCCAAGCTGTACCTATTGAGCAGCAGGATATCCGTTTTGTTGAGGTACTCCGCGAGCCCTTTAATGGCGACCAAGTCGTCCACTTGGAAGACATGATCCGCTACCAACGATCTACCCAGTTGCATCCTAAATGCATCGTCCCACTCGAGTCCAGTCACCTCCTTTCGAATCTGGTCCAGGCTGTAATTTCGAAAGGTATCATCCGCTGAATGAGACTTTGCCAAACGGACCAAATTCTGTTCAAGATTTTTAAACTGTTCCTGCATCTGGTCGAGAGGGGGCCAAGAAGAGCCAACATCGCTTAGGGCACTGTAAATTTCCGAAGTTAGACTTAGGTTCACATGACGATTGTGCGGCAGCAGGAATATCATGTGGTGACTTGCGTTGTGCCACCGCACTTCCATCTGAACAAAGTGCCCGTGGTAGCCGTACCGCCCCAGAACTGCCAATATGTTCATCCAGTGCGTGGAGCTCAGTGAGGAAAGCAAGTCCTGGCCCAGAAGATCTAAGTACCTCCTCAGATTGGGCCTTTCCAGGTCAGTGCAGTTCTGATAGTGAGTCAGCAACTTCCCATAAAAGGGATATCCGTGCTCTGGGGCACTAAGATTCCTTAACAGGTAGCTGAAGAGGTCCTCATACTGGCGGTTTATCTGTGTTTCGCTTATTGTCGTCGCCGTGGTGTGGACCCCATGTTTTTCCCGCCATTTACCACAGGCATAAGCATAAAAGTCATCACAGGGATTAATTTGGCTGTCCACGTATGTTAAAAGTGTTTCAATTTGATTTTCATTGATCGTAGAATTGCAGCTATCAAGATACGGGCAACTTTGGTCGAGTATATTTTTTTTAACCGGAAAATGCGTACCAAAGGTAGCACTACTCAACAGTAGGAAGGCAGTCCAAAGACTTTTAACCATTTCTATTGGAAATTATATGCAATATCAACACTGTTCAGTTGATTTTTCAAAACTTATTTTTTGACAAATTTTATAAGCTGCACTTTGATTTTTTCGGTTATTTAAATAGTTTTGTTTTTTGTTGCTTAGATAAGAACATTTCTAAAGTAAATTTATTTATTTATATTTTGCCCGACGTATTTTACAATTGCGGATGCTTATCAATGCTTTAATACGTTTGTAGCGCGTTTGTCGCTTGCTAAAATTCAACTAAAATCTCGTTTCACGTTTTCACTCTTCCATAGTTGCAATACAAAATATTACCCACACTTATTTACTTTTAAGTGTTCTTTTGGTGACTTTCTTTGTGTTTGTAATATTCTTGAAGCTCGATTTTTTTTTGCTTGGTTACCTTATCAGCGTTTTAAATACGTATTTTCTTTTCGGCATTTGTATGGACGGCTTATCAATAAAATACACGACAAAAAACATTTGAATAAGAACCCAAAACATTTCAGAAAGGAACAAATTCCTTGTAAGAAATATATTAGTAAGCTGAAAGGTGTCTCCAAACTTTTCTGACGATATATTTTATCTCCAAATTGATTTATAAATGGTCCATAAGTACTTTGATGTGCATAAAATTGCTTCTAAGGATCGCATTATTAAAGAAACTAGTAAGGAAGCTAGCTTAAGCAAGACTAGGTGCAAATTATCTGTCTATATAAAATATTTAAGTACCACAGTAATTAATAAATGAAAAATGTCATGTGTGCTGAAATTATTTTACAATGAGAAATTAAAATCTCGAGCTTTTTTCGGGTAGAATATCTGGAAAACTTGCTAAAGTATTATAACTTCCGTTGATTTTATTTAATGATTTATTTATTAAGCACATAATCAAAAAAAAATACTTTTTTATTTGTGTTGCCCCTCGTAAATTCCTATTTGTCAACTGTCAATTTGTATACTTTTGCAGACGGTATTATAATTTCAAACGAAAGTTTGCACGGCATTGAAGTACCCTATAAAGTATATATAATCTTATTCAGCATCATTTTTGAAGAAAAGTGCATGAAATTTTCCCAAAAGTCTTGTTTCTATTGCAAGTGATATATAAGACGGAACTGACGACTATTTCATAAAACTCACATAGAATCAATGGTAAAAGTAAACAAAAACAAATTTAGTTTTCTGGCTTTAATCTCTCAGCCTAGTACTCAGATCAAAAAACGAGTTCGCTAGCGGAAAACCTTTAATCTTTCCAGTGTGACTGCACTTTTGAGAGTTCATTATAATTAAGCGTGCTACGGTCGTACTGTCAATCAGCTGAGCTTGTTGACAAGCAGTTCAAATTCAAAAATCTTATTTGCGGGAAAGAGCCTTTAAAAGATATTCCCAACTACTTTGGCAAGACAAGACTATCGCTGTAAAAAGAAATTAAAAAACAATACAATTTAAATTTATTAGTTGTTTTTTTTTTAAATACTGATAATTATTTGGTAATTTAGAAATCATAGCTGCCCTAAGTTCTTGCAGGCAACTTTTCCGGGTTTTTGTTGGGTTTTTCAGTTTATTTTTGACCTAAGAAACACTCTACTCACTAGGGCCTGACGAACGTTCACCCAAAGTTCATTTCAGCAGACTGGCAACGCTATGCAATTTTCTGGTATTTGGGTATTATAATTTCAGACCAAAGTTTGCAACGCAGTGAAAGAGACATTTCCGACCCTATAAAGTCTATCTAGCCATGGCCGTCCGACCCTTTGTCCGTATTTCTGCCCGTCCGTCCGTTTCTACGCAAACTAGTCCACTAATTTTTAAAGCTATCTGCTTGAAACTTTCCCAAAAGTTGTATTTCTATTGCAGGTATTATATACATAAGTCGGAACGAGCCAGATCGGGCGACTATATCATATAACTCCCATAAAAAAAATTCAAAAAAATGATTACTAAACCTTTTTTTTGGGATTTGGCAATATTTAAATATTATGGAATTACGGATTTAATTAAATTAAAATCGCACAACAATATTATATAGCTGCCATAGAAACGATGGCCAAATGCAGCGCAAAATGCTTCAATGTTTTTAGTAATATAGACATATAAATCAAAATGTAGTCGTTTTGTAACAACGGCAAGCCGAAGTTTAGACGGCTTGTCGAATTTTGCTTCCTTTCTTGTTTTCGTTGATCTGAGTACCGGGGTGAAAAAAGAGCCTGACGAAAAGTGTACGCCAGCTGTCTGCCTCTCGCTCTCTCTCTCTTAGCTGACGCACAGATTTCGACGATCTGACTAAAAATTGGTCGACTCAATCCCAAAAAGACTTAAAATGATTGTTTACCAGGAGGCTGGTCATACAAAATATTAATTTATTTTTTAGTTCATAATCTAAAAAGAAATATAATTTTAAGTGCTGGTTAAAATAAGATGTGACATTCATTTTACTAGTTATTTTAGTCTTAAAATAAAATATATATTAAAAAAATTTCTTAAAATTTAAGAATTTGTGAGATAAAAGTAAAAATACAGAGCTGTAAGTCTGCGTTTAAAATGTTTCAATATCTCTCTTAATTTGGCAATACAGCGCTTTAAAATTTTACTTGAGCACTGGTTGAAATAAGCTGTGAGCCACTGTACGTCGGAGCCATGTGTCAAAATTGGTTTTAGGGTTAATGTTGCTATGAGTGTATAATAGCAATATATGCGTTGCAAACTTTTGAATGAAATTATAATACTCTCTGCAAGGGCATACAAAAAAACTATTTATTATACCCGTTACTCGTAGAGTAAAAGGGTATATTGTATTCGTGCAAAAGTATGTAACAGCTAGAAGGAAGCGTTACCGACCCTATAAAGTATATATATTCTTGATCAGGGTCACTAGCCGAGTCGATATAGCCATGTCCGTCTGTCCGTCTGTCCGTCCGTATGAACGATGAGATCTCGGAAACTATAAAAGCTACAAGATTGGCATTTTGCATGCAGATTCTAGGAGTTCCTACGCAGCGCAAGTTTGTTTCAAAAAGGTGCCCCCTTTAACGCCCACAATCGCTTATATACGATTTTAAAAATTTAAATATTTCGGAAAAGTAAAAATGCAGTTTTATTGTGTTTATCAATACCTATCGAAATGTAGAAGAAATTTTTCAAATCGGACCATTCGTTAAAAAGTTATGCGTGATCAAAGTTTTTATCTCCATTTCCCTCGCACTCCCTTTACCTGAGTAACGGGTATCTGATAATCGGGGCACCCGACTATAGCGTTCTCTCTTGTTTTTTTTTTTTTCGCACGGAGTCTCACAGCCCACTTACCCGCCCAACCGACCGATGGCCGCAGCCGTGTATCGTACGACACGATTCGCGAGAAGATAGACGCGAGATAAGGAAATATAGGTAAAAGTCCGGGGAAAAAAGTAAAAGTAAGATCAAGGCTCCTGCAAAGCATAGTTCGATCTACGATGATTTTATATTAGGGGAATATAATTTCTAGTTAATCTACTTGGCACAGAAAAGCTTAGCTGACTTACCAAGTCAAGGGAGTCAATATCACCATGTATAAGGTTATAAATGAAGACTGTACCAAGCATCGTTCTACGGTTGGCTAGGGAGGGTAAATTAATCAATCAAGTCTACTAGAATAACAAGGTAAGTTAAGATTTGCATCCCAGTTTAGGCGCCGTAAAGCAAAAAGAAGAAAGTTTTTTTGTACTGATTCAATACGACCACTATGTATTCCGTATTGTGGACTCTAGACGGGAGACCCATACTCCAGAATCGGACGGACTAGCGAAATAAATAAAGTTTTATTTAAATAAGGATCATCGAATTCTTTTGACCACCTTTGAATAAATCCAAGCACTCCTCTGGCTTTATTAATCATGGACGAAATGTGATTAGAAAATTTTAGTTTAGGGTCCAAGAGAACGCCAAGATCGTTTACAAGAGTTATTCTATCCAAAGAGCTGCCACTTAATGTGTAAGTCGCGTGTATCGGATTGACCCGATAAAAAGTCATCAGCTTGCACTTGGATGCGTTTAAATTAAGTAAATTATCTCTGCACCAGTTTTGAAAATTATCTAGATCGGATTGTAAGTCTAAATGGCAGGAAATGTCCTTATACTGCAGGCACAACTTAACATCATCTGCGTACATAAGTATGCGAGAATGACTTATAATTGAGGGAATATCGTTAATAAATAATGTAAAAAGTAACGGACCCAGATGGCTCCCTTGTGGGACACCGGAGGTAACACGGAGAATTTCAGAAATTGAATTTTTAAAAAGGACCCTTTGTGACCTGCCATTCAGATAACTTGAAATCCATTTAAGCAGATCAACTGGAAAGCCTAACAGGTCATGTTTTTGAACAAGAAGTAAGTGACTTACAGAGTCAAATTCTTTACTAAAGTCAGTGTAAATGACGTCTGTTTGAAAACTACAATTGAAGCCTTTTATCACAAATGTTGTGAGTTCTAGAAGGTTTGTGATTGTGGATATACGTTTAATAAATCCGTGTTGACACGGAGAAATGATTGATCTACAAAGGTGCTATGATGATTTTTTCAAAAATCTGAGGAATAGTTGACAACTTAGATATACCTCTATAGTTACTGGCTTCTAATTTTTTACCTTTTTTGTAAAGAGAAATAACCAATGATTTTTTCCAAATATTTCGAAATTGGAAGTTAAGATAAGGTAAACAACTTGTGAAGAGGTTTGCACAGGGCCATGCACAATACCTAAGCATGGACCCAAGAATACCATCGGGAACTGGCGAATAAACAGGCTTAATACAAAGAAGATCCAAAAGAAGAGAACGTACTATTAAAATGGGACAGAATATGAGGTTTAACTTTGATATGGTGTAAGAATAAGGCTGTGATAAATGATCTAAAGTAGAGTGAGTGGTGCTACTCTGGACAGAAACACACCTTCAGGATTTGATACAAAACACAAATCAAGTAGGCGACCTATTGAATTTCGATCATGGTTTACTTGAGATAATGATATGTCAATCAGGCCGTCAATAAAATCATGCTGTGCTATAGCATTCAATACAAGTGTCTTAAAAAATGTAAACCAAAATGTTTTGTTTCTGCCCGCACCCCTAAAATTCAATCGTCGGTAGGGTATGCAGGCACCATCCGCTCGGAGAACAACAACCAAAGTTGATTTGGTTTGAAGTTTTCTCAACCACTAAGCGCAGACACCGACTGCGATGTGCCCTGTTCCTATCTCAGTAGATTGATTTATATTAATTGGAATACATAC